CTTTTAAGGAATAATAAAAACAGTCATGGCATAAGGCAAAATATTTCTGTAAACAAAGGTCAACATTTAAAAAACTTTGTTTTGTTTAGATTTTGAATTTATGGTTAAAATGAACTATGTGATATGAAGTTAGAGATTTTCTCCCAACACTTATTTCTCCCAAGTACTTTTTTTTGGGGAGGGGGGAAGTACTTTTAAGAAGTGTGGTCCCTAAGTATGTCCCCAATGGGAGAAATACAGAATGAATTACTATGAATGAACAACTATGAATTACTAAATTATATCTGTCAGTAGCCTCTAAACCAATTAATTATTTACTTATATAAGATCTCTGAGGCAATGTTATGCATGCTTTAATTCAGGAATACAGAGTAGCGGCTTTGTTTCCTCTCTTAGCTCAACTAAGTCAAAGATTTGAGGGAGGACATTATATATATTATCTTGATACATAATTATTTATAAGTGAGACTCCCATTAAAGTAATGAAACTATACCCTTCAAAATCCAGCAATTTATTGTTTTTTCTTTTAAATGTTAAATATCTACTATCATTCTCTACTATTACATGATCCTTATGTTTCTTCTCTATTATATCAATAATATCAAGAAAGAAGTCTTGTCAAGATATTCAGCTAATTAAATGAAATCAGAAGACAACAAATACATGAAAGACCAAAAAGATCTTAAAGCTTTTTATAGCAATTATTTTTTTCGCCATTAAGGACATCGAAGCTACCACACTTAGTCTCATCATAGTACTGGATGTGCTTCTTTAAAAAGTGGAAGGAACGACAATCATGATAGTACACACCTGTAATTCCTGCTACTGGGGGAGGCTGAAGCTGGTAGATCACTTGGGTTCAGTTCTAAGCTATAGTAGAGGGCTAAGTTCTCAGCTGTAATACTATGGAACAAATATGATGAACTCCCTGTTGGCATCATCAAGCTACATGAGGAGGGCACATAGGCCCATATCATAAAAATGGAACAGATTAAAGCTCCATTCCAATCAATACTGGCATCAGGCATGTGAACGGCTACTATACTTCCAACATGAAGAAATTGAGCTCAAATCTCAAAAGAAAAAAAAACCTCTGAAGAAAACAAATATGAGCAAAGGAGTTAGAGGAGGTTTTGTTGGAAGAGAGGTTTGTCATGAAAATGTCTTATAGTATCTATAGATGATAAGGATAGTAAAGGCTTGGGGGAAATCCTCATATCTTATTACTACCCAATATCACTAACTATAGATTCATATGCCTATTTATCCATTTATATGAAATTTTAGTTAAAAAAGCATATGTGTGTAAAAACACTTAGGGGGAGACGTGTAGCCTTATTCCAGGACCTAATACTTATCTGAGAGAGTAAGAGTTGGGACAGGGATCCTCTAAGCTTGTATGGACTACATATGAAATTGAAATATTTTTTTAATCAACAAAATAAATACATTAGGACTAGAACAAAAATAATAATTTGGGGAAAAATCTTTACAGCAAAAATCTCCAATAATGATTTGACATACAAAGTACAGAGAATTAACATAAATATACAAGAACAAGAGGGATTCCCTTACAGATAAATGATCAAAAGATATAACAATTGTCAAAAGAACTATGAAATATCAACAATCATATGAATGCTCCAAATCATTAATAAAGAAATCCAAATCAAAACAACACAGAGGGATCACTTCACTCCCTTTAATGTGCCAAAGATGTTAAAAAATGAAAATAGTCAACGTATGAAGACAGACTAATACACTGGTGGTGGCGCTGTAAATTGGTTCAAGTGTTCTGCAAAACATTTCCAATGAAAGAAAAGTCACTGACCTGTTCATATCCTTTGACCGAGAGATCCCACCACGGGACACATACATGCCTTACAGTAGCATGCGCACGCACACACACACACAACACACACACACACACACACACACACACATCAATAGTAGTACTTTTTGTGGCAGCAAAAATCAAGAAATTGAGTAGATGCCCATTAACGGAGGAATGGCTAAACAAAGTACAGTATATTAAGAGTATAAAAAATATGAGGAATTCAGAGACACTTCGGAAGATTTGTATGAACAGATAAAGACCAAAGAAATACAAACAATTTATACAATAACTATGACGATGTAAACAAAACAGGATTAAAAGACAATCAAACTCTAATTCACTATGACTAACTTCAGCTCTAGAAAATTAACAAAGAAATGCTCCTCCCTCTTCTCAATGAAAAGGTGGGAATTTATGGAAGAATAATGTGGTATAAGCAGTCAGACAATCACTATGCGTCTTACTTTTGCTTAAATGTTATAAGTAGTGTTCAACTGCAAGGGAATTAAGAGGAAATTAGTATAAAATTTAAAAAAGGAAAGAGAAGGTAAGAAAAAAACAAAAGAAAAGAGAAAAAATCTTTTTAAAAACTTATTTATAGCTTTTGACAAGGTAAATTCCAAATGAAACAGAGGATGTGGCTAAACAACATTACCTTTATACAACATGTTTACAGTAAGTCTCCCACTTGTTAATCAAATACAGCATAATATTACTCTGAAACTACTTAGCTATATTTATTATAGCACCCTCTTATTCATCAGACCAAATTAATGAAAGCTTCTTTTCCCTCAATTGCCTGGGACAGTTGAGTCTGCTAAAGGTGGAGGTATCATCAAAGCAACTGGTCTAAGTTTCTCAAAAGCCAGAGAATAGTAGCAAATAATAAATATCCAAGCATGCACAAAATGGCCAATCACAACATTTCTGTGGCTGGGACTGGGAGTAGCTCAGAGAGAAAACAGGATAGGCAAGAGTAAAAGACATCAGACACCAACCAAAAGTCAAATCTTGACATCAGACAGTCATCCAGTCTAATTAGACAGAAATAAGACTTCATATATCGACTGTCCTCACATTCAGTTAATACTCAAAAAACATATGCAAAAATGACTTTTAAAAATTCACATATCTGCAAAACTTTGCGTGATAATAATTTGTCCTCCCTCTGCCCTCATAAGTGATTGATAAATCCTCTTAGTCTTAGTCCTGAAATATTAGAGAAAACATTTATGCATTAAACTTTCTTCATTTCAATGGTTAGTTGTTTGAGCAGTGGCAGAAGTCCCTAAAACAGAAATCAGGTAATTGAGGTGACTCACTTTCTGTGGGACTTATAATGAACGGCATTTTCAGATCATGACTCATGCATGTCAAAATTAAACATCCCTAAAGAGGGTCAAACTGGAAAAGAATCACTGGCAAGAACAACAGATGGTGCAGAATTTCACATCAATAAAATATGGAGAGCAAAAACAATTTTGAAGGGAGGAAACTTTTACAGTGGGCACAGAGCCAAGATAGTGGAGTAAAAGTGATGACTTACTTGAGCTCTCCCCTAAACACCTCCAAATACCTGTAAAAAACAACTAAACAAATTCTAGAGCAGCAGAACCCACAAAAAGACAGAGTGAAACAAATTTCCAGCCCAAGACAATCTGAATGGTTGATAGGAAAGGTCTGTTGGGGTGGGCTAGAAGATGAACATAGCTCAGTGTGGGCCATGAAGGCAGAGACCAAGCCCCAGCAAACCCGTAGCCCTCAGGAGACTGAATCACAAGTAACTGTAGAGGTTTCCAGACTTCTTAACCCACAAACGCCAAAGACAACTTAGAAGGTCAGTGGGAAAGGTCTGGCGGACATAGGTCAAAGAGCAGTGTGGTCCAGCCTGGCCCTAGCCTACTACAGCTGCAGTGGCTGCTCCTGGAGCTCTCAGCCTACAGATCTAGGGATCAAGTGACTTATCAGATGGGGATTGCAGGAGGGATCTCTTTGTTGGCACTGAGGCAGAATTCTGCTTTGTGCTTGGATCTGTGTCACCATCATGGGGTGAGGAATGCTGGCAAGGTACACTGGCAAGGCAGAGCTTATGGCAGCAGTACAGAAGGAATCCTCCTCACAGTTCAAAGTCAGGAAAGAGTGCTTGTGGTCACTCATATACCAGAGTACAGGCCAAGAAAGAAGTAAACACCTCGCCCCTTACCATACCACCCTGGATGAATTGAAAATTTACAGGTCCCCAGAAGTATCTCTGAAAACAGCTGCATTCTCCACACTGAAAGCAGACCCCTACCTTAACAAAGAGTTTAAAACTCAAGTAATTGGCTGGGAACATGAGGAAAATGCGCAAAAAATGTCAGACGATAGAATCTTTCTTAGGTGACAAAGAAGATCAAAACATACAACCAGAAGAAGACAACAAAGTCAAAGCTCCTACATTCAAAGCTTCCAAGAAAAAATATGAGTTGGTCTCAGGCCATGCAAGAGCTCAAAAAGGATTTTGAAAAGCAAGTAAGTAGAGGAAAAACTGGGAAGAGAAATGAGAGTAATGCAAGAAAATCATGAAAAACAAGTCAACAGCTTGCTAAAGGAGACTCAGAAAAATGCTGAAGAAAATAACATCTTAAAAAATAGACTAACGCAGGGGCAGCTAGATGGTGCAGTAGATAGAGCACCAGTCCTAAAGTCAGGAGGACCCGAGTTCAAATCCGGCCTCAGGCCAAACACTTGACACTTACTAGCTGTGTGACCCTGGGCAAGTCACTTGACCCTTACTGCCTCACATACATAAAAAAAGATGGGGGCAAGGGCCACAGGCTACTTTCAGTCTCTCTTCTTCAGTATTCTCATCTGTGAAATGGGTCTCTGTTCCTCTTCTCTCATTGCTTAGTGGCAACAACAAAAATAAAAATCAAATGATGACAAGATCAGAATGAGTTAGTTCCTGCTTCCTTCCAGTTTTTGCTTTGAAATTTTTATGCTGGTGCTGGAGCGAAGTACACTCTTTGTAGCAGGTCCCTTGAAATTTCACCGAAACTTAATACATTTTGGTTTTAAATACATAAATTGTTCCAGACTGCCATGTTGATTTATAAAATTTATATTCACTTTCCATATTTACTTACAAAAACGCAAGCTGAAGACTAGTAATAAAAATCCTACCTTTATCATTCTAGAGAGATCGCCAGCATCTGCTAACTCCAGAACTATGTTTAGTTCATTGTCTTCAATGAATGAAGCATAATATTTAATTACATTTGGATGGTTCAGTTGCTAAGAAAGAAAGTAGACAAAAAATTATTATTTCCTTACTCTACAAAGTGAAAACTTAAATTCAATTTCCCAACTTAAGAAAGTCTATATTACACGAATATATACCATTTTATTTTGTAACAATACATTATTACTTGACAACTCAAATGTTTATTGAGCTTTACCTATATTTGAGGCATTATGGGTAAAATGAAGACAGGTAAGATAGAAATTCTTTGAAAGAATTTGTAACCTAGGAACTAGGTTAAAATAATATAGCAGCCACAACAATTAACATTTATGGAGTGATTTATGGTTTATAAAGACAAGAATTATCATTCTCATTTTACAGATGAGGCAACTGACACAGAGTAGGTTAAATGACTTTTCCAAGGTCTCACAAATTAGTAAGATCAGAATTCAGGTCTATTCTAAGTTTATTACTTTTTCCACTACATGCTGCTGCCTAAATGTTAAATGAGAAATACAAAGTGCTAGGAATTTAGATGAAGGAGAGATCATTTCAAGTTGGGAAAAGTCAGAAAAAGCTTCATAAAAAAGTAGCCGAGATGTACCTTGAAATACATAACAGACAGAAAGAATATCATTAGCAATGAAAGAAAGAGGAATAAAAGTTTAGGAAAGACAGAAAGAATATCATTAGCAATGAAAGAAGGAGGAATAAAAGTTTAGGAAAGATAAAGTATTTCAATTTAGCTGAAACTCTGCAGATATACTAGGGAGTATGGGGCACAAAACTATAAGGATAAGTTGGAGTCATACTGTGAGGGGTTAAAAGGTTATGCTGAAAGGTTTGGACTTAGACAGCTCCTTAATCCCTAGAACTAGGTTTCATAATCTGGGGTCCATGAACTTGTTACATACGTATATATGTATGTGCACATATATACTATATGTATATGTATATATGTATATACACACACACACATACATGTACACACACATACACATATATACCCCCATCTATACATATTGTGGGAAACTATTCCAATATAATTGGTTTCTTTATAATCCTGTGTATCACAATTGAGGTGTCATCTTTAACTCTTTACAATTTCTCCCCACCTACATTCAATGAGTTGCCAAATCCTATAGATTGGACCTTGTAACATCTCTTCTATACACCCCTTCTCTTCTCTCCTCTCACTCTAGTAGTTCTCCCTCACCTCTAGGATAAAATAGAAAATCCTGCTTGGCTTTTAAAACCCTTTATGACCCAGTCTTTCTTATCTTTTCAGTCTTCTTACACACTGTTCCCTTCCACATAAACTGCAATTCAGTGATACAGGCCTTCCTGTTGTTCCTCATACAAGACAATCTACCTCCCAAATTTTTCATTTGTACTGGTTGTCCCCCATGCCTGGAATTCTACCCTTTGTCATCTTTATCACCTGGCTTCCTTCAAGTCCCAGCTAAAATCTTATCTTCTACAAGAACCCTTCTCCAGATCCCTCTTATACCTAAGGCCTTCTCTCTATGATTATTTCTCATTTATCCTGACCATGTCCTGTCTATATGGTCATTTGCATAATGTCTCCTCCATTAGACTGTGAGCTCCCTAAAAGCAAGGATTAGTTTTTGTTTTTTGCCTTTCTTTGAATCCCCATGCTTAGCACCCTAGCACATAAAAAAAACAGCATAATAAATACATACTAACTTGACTTGAGAAGGGGTCAATACATTTCACTAGTCTGCAAAAAGGATTCATGACACAGAAAATGTTAAGAACCCCAGCACTAAAGGATAAAAATTGGAGTGGCAAAACTTAGGAAGTTTAATTTGGCAACAGCGTGTACACAGACTGGAGGAGAAATAGAGAGTGGAGACAAATTAAGAGGCTATAGAACACCATAGGCAAAAGGTAATTACAACTTAAACTAGGGTAGTGACAATAGAAATGGAAAGAAGGCAGACTCAAGAAAAAGATGGAACTAAACTCTCCAGGACTCTGCAATCTATTGGGATGGAGAAGCATAGAAAAGAATCAAAGTTGACTCCAAAGTTTTAGGGCAGGGTTACTGGGAGAAGAGTAGTGTCATTAACAGCAACATATAAAGTGGGAACTCAGGGGAAGAGCTGGGATTCAGGGTAACAGGATAGTGACAGCTGGAAGGATGATGGCATTGGTTTTAGATATACTGGTTTTGTAATCTGACATATGAAAGTTGAGAAGGTAGGACTAGAGTTCGACAGAGAGAATGAGATTACAGACATAAATGTTGGAGACTTTTTATAAAAGACAATAATAAACTTCTTAGGAGAGGACAAGATTATTTAAGGAGAGCCCAGAGAAAAAGAAAAAGAGAATACACTATTAAGAAATGCCCAAATTAATGAAGCAATATTAGGAAGACAATTCAGGAAAGAAATGGGAAAAAAATGATCAAAGAGGTAATAAGAAAAAAAAAGGCAGAAAAAATTTTCAAGGGAGGAGAGAGTAAACAATGTCAAACATTACCATAAGATCCAAGAATAAAACTTAGAAAAATGACTACAAATTTGGCAATTAGGAAGTTACTTTCTAGCGCAAGATTTTTAATGTGGGGTCCACATAGGCATCAGGTAACTTGGATGGGGAAAAATACATTTCCTTTCACAAATTTTTGATTTCCTTTGTAATCCTATGTATTGAAAAATTTTAAGTAGTAAGTTTACTTCAGGAGACTGTCAAAAGGGTCTGCGCACAGGGGGCATAAGGCAGATTACAAAGGCTTAAAAAATATTTCAATTAACAATTTTTTCCCTTCCTCCCTATCATCTCCACTGGAGGGAAAAATGAAAAACAAACCCTTTCTAACAAACACAGTCAAGAAAAAACAAATTTCCATAATGACTGTGTACAAAAATGCATCTCTCATTTTAGATGTTCAGTTTTTCTTCAAATTTTGTCAGTTGGTGGGTCACATGTTTCACCACTGGGTCCTTGGGAAATATCACTGATTACCGCCTTGATCAGAATTAATCTCTCAACGTCATTCATTTTTATAATGTTGTTGTTATAGTGAAAGTTGTTCTGCTTCTATTCAACTTTCTTGCTGTTCTTATTGCTACAAAGATTCTTTCCTACAGTGAGTAAAATCTATCTCTGCATAATTTCCAACCTTTGGTTCTATGGGTCAGTACACTAGAACTAAACATAACTATGAAAAACATTTAAAGTTATAGGATTATAGATGCATAGAATTATAAATGAAACTTGGAGGCCCTTGAGTACAACCTCCTCATTTTACAGATGAGAATACTGAGGCACAAAGTGATCAAGTGTCTTGCCCAAAGTCACAGAGCTACATTTGAACCCAGGTCTTCCTGATGCAAGTTCAGGGCACTCTACTCACTATGCCACCTACCTAGATGCAATGATGTCTTTCTTTAAGTCTAACCCCTACTAATTCATCAAACATTACCTACCACGGTAGATAATACACAAAGACAAGGATCCCTACCATCAAGGAGTTTACAGTCTAATGCATACAAAAGACAGCCATCATATCCAGCTTTAAAAAGCTTCTCTTCTCCCAGCAAAATATTCTCGGCTCTTTTCCTTGTTTCTAATATTTTAAGGCTTCTAGGACATTTACCATCCTGGTCACTTGTCTGGGCTTGCCTTAATTTATTCTTCTTAAAATATAATGCTTGTATAGCTGAACAGTTTTCAAGATGTGATGTAATAAATTCAGGGTACTATAGAGAGTACTAAATTCAGAGAACTATTAACTTCATTTGATATGGCTTTCATATTTCTACTGATGCTAGTAAATTTTACATTAGCTCTCTTATCAGCTACTTCTCAATTACTAGGACACATTAAACTCACCACTAACTAAAATTCCTGAATGTTTATACACACAGACTCCTGCTAGGTTAGATTTCCTTCATTCCACACTTTTGTAATTACCAGCCCCTCCCCTCAAAATAAACAAACAGACAAAACCTAAATGTAGTAATTCATATTTATCCTTATTCATTTAAGTCCATTTCAGTCCATCAAGGTAACTGAGTCATATTTTGGTGATCTCATATACTATTAATTAACCCTTTCAAATTTTACTATCTGTAAATCTCATAAGCATGTTTCCTGTGTCTTCATCCAAGTCACTGATTAAAATGTTGATGACACCCACAAGTACAGACCCACCAGGAAAGCCCTCCCTGAAGGCTGAGATACTGATTAATTAAAATAAGATTCTATATAGGCTTTAGAGCCACGAAGGACCTCAGAAGTCAACCAATCCAACTCAATTCTACACAGCAGACATTTATTCAGTACCTGCTAAGTGAAGGCAGAGTGCTAAGAAAAAGGAATACAAGACCAGAAATGAAACAGAACCAATCCTCAAGGAACTTATGTTATTATAGGGAATAAAAAAGTAAATAAGTAAACATGAAATATACAAAGTAATGTAAAGTAATTCAAGACAGAGAGTGTGTATCTGAATTGTGCTTTGATAGAAGCTAGGGATTCTACAAGGTGAAAAAGAGGAGAGCAGATATTCTGGAGAGGGGGCATTGTTTGTACAAAGGTAGTCAGGTGAGTAATGGAATGTCTCATAGAGAACAGCTAGCAGCCTAGTTTGACTGGATGAGAGACAAGTCCAACTCCTCTTCATTTTATAGATAAGAAAATATATAGAGAGAGGGTATGTAACTTACTCAAAGTCTCACAGCTACTAAGCAGATCCAGGATTCAAACCCAGGTTCTGACACTACTGCATTCAGTCCGTTCTCCTATATCTAATTCAATATTCTTTGTATGTAGCTGTTTTACCAGCTAAGACCCCACCTAAGGATTATTAACTAGCCCACATATTCACAAAGATAACAGAAAAGACTGGTAAATAAATATCTTGCTGAAATCAAGGCACATTGTATCTACAGCATTTCTCTAATTTACTAGTCTAGTAACTGAGTCAAAAAAAGGGGGGAGAATGAGTTTCACATGATTTATTTTCAGTAAATCCATGCTGGTGTTTAGTAATGGCTGATTCCTTTTAAAGGGCTCA